CCCCCCCGCCACCCCCACATTGACTTTAAGCCCTCGACAGAACTTTTTGTGTACATAGATTTGTGGTTCTGATTACTTTAAACCAATTTCCCTCAAAGTGAGATGACTTTTCGCTGTTGCGGTTTTTATTTTGAGGAAGCCGCTTGCAAGCGTTTGAAGTCCTCACCTTGTGTGGTACTGAGGTGTGTCTGCATGGGGCGTGGATTGTTGTTGACCGGGCCTATCCGCATAGTCCGCTGGTAGCGCTCGATTTCTGACAGCCGGTCGGAAAACTGCATCTTCGTGGTGTCTTCCATCTTCACTCGGTGTCCTGCAAGATGGAGGAACATGCACGTTTTACTTCCTTCACAATGGCTGAGGGAAAGTTGTAAGCATCCTGAAGCCAGCGTTGGTCTTTTTCTTGTGTACAAGAGCAGATTGCTAAATTAGAATATCACAGAGAAGCTGATTTATTTCAATAATTCGGTTCAAAAAGGAAAACTTGTGTTTTATAGATTTTTTATGTCAAGCTGTCCAGAAGACTGTCACTGAGATCTTTCACAATGAGGGTAAAAAGCTGGATGTTTAGATCACCGTGTCCAAGCATTTCAGTGGAAAGTTGAGTGGAAGGAAAAGTGGACCTTCAGCTGTACAGTATTTAAAATGTCCTGGAAGACAGCTCTGCTAATTTTAAACTTGAACAAACACAGTGAGGCAGAACTAGTAAATGACATGGCTGATCAAATCATCACTGACTGAAACGTCTGAATAAACCTCACTAACTTGGAGCCTCTCTGTTGTTCCTCCAGGCACTAGGATCTGAATTTCTAAATGAAACTGCTGAATTGTAATTTGGACCTCTGGGCAGCAGTGCAGGTCCTTTTCTCCCCAGCCAAGGTACAGTGGTTTAGAAGATGTTTCCGGTTGAGGAGCAGTTAAAAATAAGGAGTGTACTAGTTTTAGCTCCGGTTCCGGACAAAGTCTTGGAGCACAAACTTCAGCTGCAGTTGCCTTGTAGATCTCTCCCAACGTCTTAAATAGAGTTTGGTTTACAATCTCTGCAAGGCCGCGATTACTTTTGTTACTTGTGCACCTTGTTTTTATGACAGTTTTTCCTTCCACATAACTTTCCAATAATATCCTTGAACACAGCGCTTTATAAAGCCAGCTTCTTATGGCAACTTCCAAAGTCAGCGGTCTTACCCATGTTTGTGTAGGCCAGAATAGTCCTGTATTAAAAATATGTTTTAAATTGTTCTGTAATATTGTTATTTTCTGAGAAGCTGAGTATTTTCATTAGCTTTATGCCATAGCCAGTGCTTGAAACATGTCTACTTTAAATGTGTGAAATGAATCTACGTAATGAGTTTCGCTTTTTTCATCTGAATCATTGGGATTAATCTTTATGTAACAATTACATTCTGAATTTGAGAGAACTAAGGAATTGAAACAGGACCCCTCTATCTACTTTTAGAATAATCCAAGGTAAACATATGTACAGAGGAAGCTACTGTTGCCATGTTTTTAGCTGCCAAACACAAAAATATTATTAGAATGTCAGCAGACCTTGAAATACACTGGCTAGACACTAAATGTTGCCCAAGCTGCACCTGCTGCCACGTCACCCACAGATAACGATGGTGTAAGTGGTTGAAAATAATTGCTGCAGGAATGTTGTTTTCCCTGAAACTGATGTCTAATAAAGTGCGAATTATTGCATTAAGAGTCTCTGAAAAGTGATGAGGTTAAACGATCTTTATCTGTAGTACCTCATTTGAAAAACAGCACAATGTGACTACATCTACCCCTAATAACATCCCCCTATCTTGGTCTTTCTCTCTCTCCCACACACACACACACACCCCCGCACCAACACAAATTCAGGTCTGACTGACACAGCACTTAGTCAAAAGGAAACACCCAAACAAGGTTATGAGACCTTATAGTCATCAGTCTTCAGCGTAGCAAAGAAAAAACACAGAAAGAGATGTTTATATGCACATATGTGTATGTGTTCAGGAGGTGAAGTCAGGGAAGGAGAAGTGACGCATTTCTGCTGCACCTAGAAAACTAACCAACACACTTAGTGCCCTTATCACTCTGCGGTCCCCTTCGGGGAAATGGTAAGAGAAGAAATGAACTCTGATTGTGCCTTTTACGTGGACAGACGCATGTGTATTTGCACATGCACATGCTTTACATGTGAACACACCTTAAATGCCAGACGTGAGTCCGGATGCCTCTAATGGGGGGAAGAGATTTTAATGTAACTATCAATGCACCAAAACTGTGTGTCAACCAGCATGTATACATTCTGTGGTTTTCTCCCTGGCATCTCTACAGAGTAGCCTAATGTGAAGTAATGGCTGGATTTGAATATTTTATCACAATATAAAGAGGGCAAGGCAGACGGACCAATATGGATTTTGCCCGTCCTTTCTCTCCACTGACCCATGGGCAATATATCTTCCCTCCGAGGCTGACCCATGGGTAAAGTTTCCTCCCGTTTACCGCTCTGTCCATTTGTTTGGACCCACTGCCTCCTTTCAGTCTTCATCTTTAAATTTTATAGAATTATATATATATATATATATATATATATAGAACAAAAAACTTATTTTTGATCATTCACAATTCCAATCTTGTTCCAATTGATTTATGCTTTCTCTTATTTACTAGCCATGTGCCTAAATCAACAGCATTTAGTGCAATGATCAGCCTCAAACACTATCCTCGAGGTGTGTTTGTGAGCAATAGATTTTTTTTATATGTAGACATAAATTGTCTCAATGGACTTAAAAGATTTCTTTGAGAATTAAAGAAAGCTGGTGTAAAAATCCCGATTTATGTCTGTCACACTTTTTCAGTGTTTTAATAGATGTTACTTAAAAAAATGGGAAACAAGTTGTGTTTTGTGATGAGTAATTTGAAAACAAATTGCCAGAAGGTAAAATTAAAAATGAGCTCTTTGTTAGTTTCTCTCCAGTCTGTCAACAAGAGACCAGCATTTTGCTTAAGTTTAAGAGATTTTTTTAATCAGGGCATAACAACACATCCATCTCATGAGGTGATGCATGACACCAAGTTCCGAGAACAAGATTTTAGTTATTTTATTTTTATTTTTTTGAAAAACCACAAATCACTATTTTTGTTTTTTAGCAAATTGTATCCGTTTGTTTTTTTTTTTTTTTATAAAATCTGTAATCAAGAATATCCCTGTTCAGGCTTAAATATTTAACAGTTTTGATGCTTGTTTGTCCCGAAGACAAAAGTCAATGCTTGCTCTTGCTCTTTGTGTTCAAACAAATATAATTTTATGAAGCTCAAACTTTTTTTTTTTTTAAGAACCTATGGTCAGTGGATAATTATCCAGCACAGGCCTATTCATTTTACATATGTAATATTATGAACTGGATATAATTTAAATACAGCCAGACCTACAATTTAAAGTGCTGGATTCTTCCTCAATGCTTGTGTTGTCAATCCAATGAAAGGTATTTATTAGGCACCTTCATTGGCACCACAGAATAATTAAAGAGCTGCTTCCTTCCCCATTTCAAAATAAAAGTCTCAAATATAGGTATGCTTGAAACATATCTAAGACTCATTAATTACTTGCAATTATGGGATGTTATATTTGTCTCAGAAGTTGAAGCTGCAAGTTGGAAAATAATGGGTTATGGGTCATAATAATGTAATAATGGGTCATAGCACCATAACAATATATTTAAATTTATGTAGTTAAAGATAAATGAAAATATTCTCAAAGAAAGATTGCTCTGTGCTAAGGGCAACCCTGATTTAATGAGACAAACTGTAAAGAGTAAGTAGTTTTTTATCTTTCACTCCTAAAGTCCAATGAGGTTTGAAATTACAACTTTCAGCTTCCTCACTGTGTTTCCAGAAAGTGCCATTATTTCACCAGCTAGCAGCAATTAGGTGTTGCTATATGAGACAAACTTCACTTTGACGGGAAATGTTAAGTTAATATTACAAGAATTAATACAAACGCAAATTTTTAATGCCAGAATGATTCATAGGTCAGAAGTGAGTACGCTAGCTACACGCTTAATTAAAAATGAAACGCAAGTAAAACTAACCACAAGCACATCATTACCACAAGAATGGTGTGCTTTGAAAAACAAAAATGACATTAAGAAAGGCATTCAAGTCCAGAGTGCGAGAGCATCTGGCTCCATGGTGAAAATACATGTTAAATGATGCCCAATGAGCGAGAATCTAGCGGCGACAACTCCAGGACGTTTTTTTTTTTTGTTTGTTTGTTTTTTCACACGTTCTGATCAGCAGTAACCTTGAACTTAACAAGTCTGAGAAAAATTCAGTTATGACTAATCTGCTGGAGCAGAAACTGCTGTTCTTCTGCTGCTGTAAAGCAGCTTGATTTCCTGAACATTATGACACCAACTCAGCCGCTGTACCACTTTGGTCTTTGCCGTTACTCAGGAACACCACCCCCCTCTTCATGCGCTCTGGGATATCTCTTTATTCAGATGCTTTGCAGTCGGTCTGTCTTCTCTTTAAACTGCAGTGGAAGGAATGCAGGTTGGCGTTTTCTGTCTCTGACACACAGAGACCACTGTCAACTCCAGACCAGAGTACTGCCAGCCTAGGGGTAGCAGCCCTCCAAATATAGCCCCTATATGTGTCCTTGCGTCGTTATTAAGAGATTTACACCACCTCAAACGGCTGAGGTCAGGGAAATGATACATCCCAATGCTCTCTGGCTGGAAAGAAAAAGCAGATGCCACAGAGGGGGAAAAAATATATAATTGGTCAGTTTTTCTGTTTCCAGTGGTGGTCTGAGATGAATTGGCTCTTTAGAGATGAAAGTAATCATTCAGCCGCCCACAAATACACACACACACACACACACACACACTTGAGCTGCAGATCCCGTGGCCTGGTTCCAGCTGGCAGGGACAGACACACACACACACACAAACTCATGTGCTGCATGTGGCGACAGTGTTCACAGCTTCCAGCAGGGGGGGTTCAGTGTGATGGGGGAGGGTGGTGTGTGGTTTTTTTTTTTTTTTTTTTAGGAGTGGGAGTTTTTGATGCATCATTAGAACTAGGCCTGGAGCCCATTAACCCGGGACCCACAGTTACTGTTAACACCACTAATCAACTGATGGGCAGCTAAAGACCCTCCTTCCCTCTGCTTTCTATCCTCTTTTCTTTCTTTGCTTGGATAAAATTAACATTTTATTAACAGATTTTTTGTGAATAGTTCTTTAACAAGAGTATTTATTTTTCTTTCCCCCAGTCGTAATGGGGAAAGCAATCGTGGAACGGCGGCTGTCCAAGAAG